TATTATATACTTATATATAATAATATATATATATATATATATATACAATATATATATATATAGTATATATATATATATATATATCTATATCTATATCTATATCTATATACATATATATCACAATATATATATATATATATATATATATATCACAATATATTTATTTGTATATTTATTATATTTTTATGTTTATCTTATTATTATATATGTTTACATATGTACGAGTGAATTTATCTGTATATCTCTCATTCTGTTTAGGAAGTCGGCCCGTCTAGTGCTTGGGTCACTGATAAATGTACTGTTCGCTGGAATTTACTTATATTATGTTATCGTCTCGCTAAGATTTGATTATTCATTTCTGACTTGGTATCGCAGACTATTGCTAGGCGATTGCACCTGCGGAAAAGCTCCTTAGTACAACTCGCACAGCGTATGATAAATACATCCCCTCGTGATTCATCACCATCTAAACCTGATCTTGAAAAGGCGACATCTATGGACAGTCCAGCCAACTGTGTCATATCATCTCGAAGTGTATTAGATAAAACGCCCACTCGAATCTCCAACAACCGCGGGAAGTTAGTGGATACGCCTTGCAACAGTCCGTTTTCTCCGGTTCCCAGTCCTGGCAGTGCACCTGTAGTCATGGGGCAAGTGTTCAGTTATGCTGAACTGGAGGATGGCAGCGATAGCGGTGGTGATCTACGGATGGAAGCTCAAGGGCGAGCGAGAGATCAGGCTACCGATTCTCCGCATAGGGTCCAAGGCGGGACACGAAACAGAATGAATCGACGCAGCAGTTGCAGTGTGATTAAGCCGTCTAGATTCTGCATGGAGAACCGAGAACGTGTACCTGACGGTGATGTTCTGCAAGAATTGTTACACCGAGCGGCGAATGATACGGACATGGGGCTTAGTGCCACTAGCACACTGGTCGGTCTCACCAGGACACCCGTGTGTAGGCACACGTCACAGACCAATTCATCGTCACCTGGGGTTGAGCGCAAACAAACAGGGGCGAACCTGTCTACCCCGCGACGGAGATCGAATTCACCAACAAAGCTAACCATGAGAGCAAATACGCTGTTCTCACGGCCAGAAACGACTTGCCAAGCACCTTCGCAACACCAACCACACGAACAACATCAACATATAAAGCAACGTCAACAACAATTGCAGCAACTACGAGATCAACAGCCACATCAAGAGGCTGGAGGCACCCTTGGCAGGCGTGTGTTCACAGGCGACTTTGATGTGGGCACCCGTTTTCCAATCCAGACCAGAAGCATGGGCTCCATTTCCAATACGCCATTAAGCCGTGGAGCGGGTCGTGCAAGTAGACTAGAAGGTAAATCGACCGGGTCACTCTACAATCCAAACTCGGCGCCTGAAGTAGATGCGTCGTTTATTTACCCTTCGTCGCGTGATCGACTCATATTGGTGACAGTTAGTGAAGGCATTGTGGGCCATCAATCTAGTCCAGAACGTCAGGACAGGATGCGATCTGGGGGGAAAGGAGCGGTCACTATTCAGAGGAGTTCATCTCTGTCATCAATACAAAATAAGAATTTGAGCTGGGATGCAACTACAAGTACAAACTACAATCCAACGCACAAACGCCAGTGTGACGCTGACAAGCCGAAGCTTCGGATTGGAAACTATCAGACTAGGACGAGTCCTATAGCCAAGGAGAGATATAACGGCCGAAGTGGCCCGAATATGCTCCTGACAGATGCTGTCCCCAAAAGAGAACCCATAGCGGACTCTGGGTGTACTGTATACGGTAGTACTATGCCTGGCCAACCCAATGACGAGGAGACCAGTGTGGCTGGTGCGAGCGATGCCCATAGAGTTGTGCATGCTACGGAGATGTCGTGCTCGGAGGGGAATAGTGAGGGTCAACCCATTATTGACGAGGGAGCTGATACGGTAGGAGTGCTTACAACCCATTTGGAATGGGAAAAGCAGTCAGCAAGCGGTGCAGGATCTATACAGCGCCCGAGTGACTATATGATACGTTCACTGTACGAGCCTACGACTACCGATGAACATGAACGGGCACCGACCGAGGGCATGACCGCAGTTTTGTCGGACAGTGCGGATAGTCAGCTGTCCGAAAGCACGGTTGGGCTGGGACGCGATGCATTCCGCCCTTCATCGATGGATGACTTGACTAAGTTGTGGCCGGGTGGAGGAAGCTCGGCCAATTTGAAACCAGACAGTGAGGAATCCGAACAGTCAGAAGCAGATGAGCCGAATTCTGTGTATAGCGCGATGGCGCATGTGATAGGCGCCCCTCAAGACTTGCAACTCATTGGAAATGGGGAACGTTCACCTCGAATCGTCGCAAATTGGGTCGTCCCCGCTTTAGATAGCCTTACTATCACGCCCACACTACAAACCACAAGCGTACTAAGTGCTAACCCACGGAGGGGCTCGCCCCCACACCAAGTGGAGGATGGTCTCGGATGCGCGAGGAAGGTTTCATCTACGGGTGATTCCGAGTTAAACGGCAAGCCTTCGAGGGCGCTTTCGATACCGTGTTTTGAGCTGACCGATGACGAAGGCATTATATCTCGGGGTGTATCGACCGAGGAATTGGGACTAAGCGGAATGCTCAGCGACATATCGTCGCAGATTAATGCACGTACCCCTGAACCCGATACAAATCCGGTCAGCACTAAGCCGCTAAAAGAGAAGTTCGCTCTGTCCCAGTCACTTTCAGACAGTTTTGTTGGTCTTTCCACACGCACGACACACGATCAAGACATGGACCGAGACGCAAATGATGATCGTCTTTCACTCGATGAGGAAATTCTGTCGGCGGAAGAAAACGATGGTAGTGTGTTACATAGCGGCAGGAATGAATTCGCAGAAGGCTCCACAAATGAAACAGTTAGCCCGTTTTCTATGCACCGATTCTTGGAGAAGAGTGCGCAGATGTCAGGTTCGGAAAAGCTAGACCTCTTGGTCCGAATGCACCCCGAGAGTCAAGCCGTAGAACCCACTTCGTCAAAGTCATTGCGCCTTGATAAGTCCAGACCGAGACGAGCGATGAGTGGCAAGACCATCTCTTTGCACTACAAGAACAAGAAGAAACTCAAGGAAATGGATCTGGAAAAGTTCAAGGGGTCACACAGCCATGAAGTGGAACACATGTCTGATGTGAGACACAGCCATGACGTGAGATCAGACAACAGGTGTCAGACGCTCGCAACGACTGTATCAGAATCAAAAATCCATTCTAAAAACAAGGACAAATATAAAAGCACTTTCCGAGCTGCTAGAGCCAGGAAATTGTCCGATAAGAAGTATTATGAGGACAGAGAGAAAGGAACCAGCCCCACTCTGCTGAGGATGCTGACTCATCGGTATGAAAAGAAAAGACGGAAGAGTGGCCACATTGTAAGTGCAAGGACATCTCCGAATGGAAGTGGGGAACTTCAAGAATCGTCGAGAAAAATTAGTGAACCCTCCAGTAATAATGACCTGGCGAGAGTGAACAAGACCCCGTTAAGTACCGATAGTGTGGATATTTTGCTTGGAGATGCCCTAACATGCCAACTTCAAGAAGAGGAAGAGGTCGATAAGTAACAAAACAAGTGTAAATCTTGTCGTAAAGAATTGCGCTTTTTAGCTGGATTGCTGCAAATTTGGGCTATAAATTATATAACACAGCGTACAATTAATTATGTTTAAATTTTTTAAAATTTGTTTTGAAAATATGATTCTTATCAGTTAGCAACTCTCTGGGGAGGGAGGCGCGCGGGGGAGAGGTGTCTCAAGCAAACATAGGTTGACCCAAAACACTTACAATTTCTTTTGCCCTCTTCTCCAACTTTTGAGTTGGCTTGCAGGAAAATTGTATTGCGTTTTATGGATACTATTACATTGTTTCGGTCATATGACCGCGGTATTACTTTTTCACGTATATTCTACTCATTATGACCAGATATACAATCCATTGGCGATAAAGGGTCAAGCACCATTGAAATGGGATATACAATATATAAAAACACAAAAAATAATTCATGAAATTCATGGTTTATTTCCATTGTTCCAAAGGTTCAGGTTTTATGGTGTACGTTTTGGAGATAAAACCAGAGCAAATATTTACAATACACATATGGTTAAAAACAGTTACACAGCCACTCCCAGTCTAAAGTGTACAAATCTACATGCTACAAGCAAAAATATTTGAAGCAAGATGTGGCATCTTGGATCGCATACGATTCGAATTAACGGTTCATTGAGAGCGCGAATTGCGGGGCAATATATTTTGAGCCAATACCACGGCAAACACAAACTTGTACAATGCCGTGCAACTTGAAAAAGATTGAGGCATGATCACAACGAAAAAGGAAAAGAAAAAAAATTGGATAAGCACTTTCATGCGGATTGAAATCCGATAACTGCAACCTCGGCCAATCAATTTGGAAAGGGATCTCAAACACTATAATTCGAAGTGTTGATGCGTTGCAGTGCCACCGCCAAAATCTACTATATACAAGGAAACTACGATGTTCAACACTCTGTACTACTTTATCTAGGCTAACAGAAAATGTAGACTATTTAATTATAATTCGATGTACACAACGGTACAATACGTTGGCACCAGGAGAAGCGATTGTGTACTCTCTTATGAAGCTATTAGGCCTTATTATAAACTAAGGCAATGTATGCTCGACGGTCTATTTAGCAGGAACCTGGACGTCCGCCGTACGTTTTTTGCACATTTTAGCGAGGAATTCTCCACTACGGGCGGATTCAGAAACATGTTAATACAAGATACCAATACAGTGCGTGATGCAAGCCATCGAAATGGTTACCAGCGAAGATACCAGTGCTGTAATCGTTGCTATGTACAGTGATGATGTTCTCTCACATCAAAATCACACTGATTACCTATCTGCAGCTGCAGATATCTCGCTCCTCGCCTGCCTGCATCTACGACCAAGGAGGAAAATCGGTTTGTGCGAAAAAGGCAGGTGCTGCCTGAATAGCCAATCAGGAATCTAATCCTAGTCTCTGTGCACTGGCAGGCCCAATACTCTTGAACTTTTGTTACAACCCGTGCGGTAGGTTTTTCCTATTCCTTGGTAGATCAATGTTAGGTAGAGAATCGAGCACTGGCCTAGCACGCTCGTGCATCCCATCCATGAGAGGCTTGGCCCTTTCTCGCGCCTTCTCCATGGCCTCCCTCACCCTTGCAGGTGGCTCAGGCAATTCTGGCATATCGGGCATTTGCTCGTAATACTCGTTCATACGTGCCGAGTAAGGCTGTAGCCTTTCCATTTGAGCGTCATACGCATCCTCCACACTGTCTGTGAAGCGACCCAACCCTAAAAAACAATTCCCACGATAGATTGAGAGTTCATACAAACAGCGGACGAGGTGCGATATGTATCTAAACTGGGAGTAGAAAACGCCTTCTCTGGTACTATCCTATCTGTACACATAGCTACCGAAGGTATACAGTTTAGAGTTATAGAAAGATATAATTAACTTAAATTACATATGCACACACCACCTCTCTTTAGGTATCAATCTTGTCTATAATTACAATTGAAAATGATCATGGATACACATGTATACACATGTGTGTGTTCGTACGGCAGACATGTGTGTGGGTGCACTACTATATACTAGTCCTAGTTTACTATCTACAACTTTTCATAACAGCACCATATCGTATATCTGCGAGTGTGTATGTACACCGATACACACATAATTTATAATGTTGAACGTAAGAATATTCTTGTTGATGTGCAAATATGAATTCCTAAGTTTACCATTATACCAGTTGTATCTGTGCGGTTATATACGACTTTACATCCGAGTGAATACATGTGTAGATGTATATCGAGCATACATATTCATCCTATATGTATGCGAATATTCATATATAACAAGTGCACACAACAACAGCTGGTACGAACTTGCTATCAATTTTATTGATAAATACCCGCAAGAGATATTGCTATGGACCATGTATGCATGCGATGACATACCCTCGTCAAACTCCTCCGCTACCTCTGAGATTCCAGTGCTTGGTCGCCTTTTCTTCAACAAGTCCATGCGCTTTCTTCTTCGTTTCGCTTTGGACCGAATCTGTGAAGCGCGAAGCACGTGAGGTGGAAACCGTATTCCCATTTAATATCCCACAAATCACATACATCTACGGAACTGTTCACAGAGTACTGGCATTGCTTTCAAATGATCATATAATGCTGCAACAGCTCACAGCATACTAGACAAATCCTCAAATCAGAATCCTGCCATAATGACAACGGAAAGCACAACTTACATGCGCGGTCAGCTCAGGGGTCAGTATCGTAGCGAACACGTATGTGCAAAAGGGGACGACGAAGATTGCTGTTATATATATAGGTATAGCACATAGGCAGAGTCCGGAAGTCGAAACCACCTGTAGAAAGACAGAGAGTAGAGCTCTACGATGGGTGGTGCAAATACAAAGTCTTCCGCTTTCCTGAACTATGACAAGACCCGATTTTGGCCTATGACTATTGGCCATAAGACTGCTATGAGAAATTTATGCTGGCGCGAACAAGCTCATAAAGGTTCGTATTGGCTTGTCCATATCAGTCGCCGTCAGAATTTGAGTGAGCTGGTGCACAGTCTCTCGCTCACTTACCGTTATGATCAAATATGTCAAGTACGCAGGCAGAAGTTGCCGAACAACTATCCACATCCCGAAGTGACAGTAAAGAGTCCAAGAGTAGACATTGAGATGCTGTGCGGAGATAAATGGATTGATGGATAAGCGAATGTAAACTCAAAGCCCATCAGTTGAATCGCGTCTCTACCCTGCGCTGTCATGCTGGTTACACGCGGTAAAGGTGGATCACTGTATGCACCCTTACCGATTTCTTGTACTTGTCCATCCACCATAGAGCGTTTATCAACGGATTAGTATATTCCACCATCATTCCTATGCAAAGTAGATAGTAAGAGTTGGCACATCCGGGCCAGAAACAAGCGGTTGCATCTGCAAAGCATCAGCCAATTAAAGTGTAATTGAGAACAGCTGCTAGAATTTCCGCATGGCACAAATGACACAATAGATTACTCTCAGCATACAACTGTAATCTGACATTCGATGATAAAAGCTGATTCCACAACGTGCTACAATTTTAATATATAATTGTACTACAACAAGCGGTTCACATTTTCGAAGTACGAATCTGACAAAGGCGACATATATAATTCTATACGAAAATATTGACTAATCGGTTGTTGGCCTGCGCAGAGCTCCGTGGACGGTCTGCCACTCTAAGTTTGAACACATGTTCACATGTACACCTTGCCATACGCGAGAATAGCATGGAAGCGTCACTTATATACGTCAGCCTTAATCATATCCTGACCCTTTAACGCTTTTTTTGACAAACCAAATACTATATATCACTCCGTATGTATCTCAGACACCAGAGCAGTCGAGTTGCGTCACACAGAAAAAAGAACATATCTCTTAGATATTATGTTGACCAGATGTTCATGAAACTCACGACCTTGTAATGTATAGCCATTCGAACATCCTGACCAGCAACATTTTTCCTGATCTTGTTCATGCGTTTTTATTTCAAGTATAAGATGGATAGAAAACCCAAAATTAAGAGCCATTTAGAAGTTTTAGCTCTTAAAGCAATCACCGTAAAAGAATCCTATTCAACTGCTTACCCAAAAAATCTTTAACGCGAACAAGACGAACCCCATAGAAATAGGAAACTTACATGGCATTACTCCGCATATATGATGGACGACGAAAACAATCCAGTTATCCAAACGTGTGCTGGCAACCACCCAGCAATCGAAGGCAAAGTATCCACAGCTGAACGCAAAGAAAATCTCCGCCGTATGTGCTTTATTTCCGAGGACGTCCACTGTATAATGTAGCCATCAAGGGTGCATATATTAAAGCTGTGATCAGGCCCGGGCGAAACGGTTCCGGAGAAAGGCCCAAAGCATGGATTAACTTCAGCATGCACTTACTACCCTGCCGTTATCATTGTGTATTTTTAGAATAAATGCGGAGAAGCTCACGGATGCGTACGCCCTCAGCACTAGTCGCGAAATGACAACTCTATAAGTTGCAGTTCATATCTAAGTTTTTCTGCCAATACACACCTCGAGCTATTGGGGCATACTACAAACAGAGTCTCATGTGCATACACGGTATGAATAGACAAGGTCAAACACACGGAATATAATCGAAAAGAAACCCTAAATCCATAACGCTGAGGGCATACAGAGCCACTATTGAAGAATAAGAATCGCGCGGAAACGCACAACATCAGGGTGAATTCGCAAACACATTGTAACTCGTGAATTTTCAAACACATACGCCATAAACTATTACTGATTGCCACAGCCAGTAACCCGTTGGAGACAACCAATGCATGGAGTGTCGAATACGTCCTCGCTGCGCAGTCCGCTTTATCCCCCAATGACATCATGTTGAATACTTTTGACTTCCTAGTCAGCACAGCGTATGATATGTAATAGAATGCCTGCGGATTTGAATAAAATAACAACTGTTCGTGTAAGTACAGCATGATTTCTATTAACAGATGGCGAGGTATATTCTGCGATATTCTAGTAAAATTGTGAGCAAGTTATGCATGAATCATGCAAAACTATTTCTTACCCTTACTTCTGTAAATAACACCCAATATTAGTTACAAAATGGTGCTACCATCAGTACAAAAACGTCATCCACATTTCCAAATCTATTTGTATCTACAATTTTGTTTACATATCTTCAGATTTATGTGTACTGTCGCAGAGATCGTCAATGTACGCATCCGCATTAAAAATATGATATTTCCACATAGACATCAATAAGCAGGCATCTATGACATATAAGTATGCGCACACAATTTGTATTGTTATTCTCTATTGAATAGATCTATATATACATATTTATATATGCACATACAATAAAAACATGTACATAGTACTGCCACTAAGTATATTTGAATATATACATATACATTAACATAGATCTACATATATATATATAAACGTAAATATATATATATATGTATATATATATATATATATATATGTATATATATAGATATATAGATATATATATGTATATATATATTAACACAAATATACATATATACATATATATGAATGCATATATATATATATATATATTTAAGTGTGTGTTTATG